CCCCCCCCCCAGCCAGCTCCACAGAGGCCTGTGCTCCCAGCCTCCCTCCCAGCTCCATCCATCCAAGCCACCACCTCCACTCTTACCCACTGCAGTTCACCTGTACCTGATGGGGAGAATCCTACCGTACCCACCCCACCAGCTTCTTCAGTGAAGCAGTGTCTGAGCTAGGACTAAGACCCGTGAGTCCTGGATCACACCCCTCCACTCCAACCATTAAGGAGAACTCTCTCCTAGAGAAGGGTGGGGAAGGGGTTTCTAATTCTTAGAGCAGGGGTGGGAGCCAGGACTTCTAGGCTCAAATCCCAGCTCCTGCTCCAATCACCGAATGATACTGCCTCTGCCCATCTGCAGGGGCAGGAGCACAGGAATCCCACTCCCTCTGAGCTCAGGTATGACTCTTGGTCAAGCAAGGGCCAGATACCAAACAGATTGGGGTTGGTGATCCAGGCCAGGGACCTAGGCAGAGTCTGAGTGGCAGCCTTCCAGCTCACTCCTCTCTACCTTCAAGAGCAGGTGGCAGACACTCCCTGCCCTTCCCTTAGGCCAGTGCCCTTGAGCAAAGGCAGAGTCAGGAATCACTTCTGGTAGGGCTGAGGGAAAGGACTTCCTGGGTCACTCTGAAGGCAAACAGCAGACAGCCAAACTCCAGCAAATCTGGTACTACCCAGGGCACCTCCTTGCTGCAGGGCCTGGCAGACAGGCTATTGCCAACCCATCAACCCCAAAGCCAGCACTAATTTCAACTAGTGCAGTGACTGGGGAGAGAACAGCAAACAAGGAATAGATTCTTCCTGCAGGGAGCCTCCAACACCAAGGGCAGGAAGCCAGCTCAGAGGGAAATGGCCAGGGGCAGGCTGGGCTAGGGACACAGCAGGGAGTTTGGGGGCTCTAGGCTGGAGGTGCAAGAGCCCCACATCTGGTGGGGGAGAGGGATCTATTCCCACCTAGGGCTAGTGTTGGGCTGTGGCAGAATGGAGACCCCTCATGTCCCTACGACTGGGGCTGGAAGACAGGGGTAAGGGCAGCTCCAAAGCAATCAAGACCAGGGTCCTTGTCCCAAGCAACTGTTCATTGCCTGGGCTGCAAAACAGCCTGGTTGGGAGTTCATCACCTTGCCTGCTTGCCCATGGGGATGCACTCACCATAGCGGGGGGGGGGGCAAGGGGTACTATGCACAAGCCAGAGCTGGGAAGGGACTTCCCCAGCCCACACCCAGGAGTGGAATCCCCCTGTCCCTCTCCCCCCATCCCCCAGTACCCAACAGAGCCTGGAACTGGAGAAGGAGCCCCAAGAGCTCAGGCTGGATCCTTGGACAGCAAGTTACACAGGCTCCTGCAGGTCCAGATCCTGCCATGCCTGTACAGCTACTCTAACACTGGAGGTGGGGAAAGCCAGCAGGAGTGGGGCACCATGCTCTTTGCTGACTGGTCTCCCATATAGGGGGCTGGGGGTGCTGGGTGGCACCAGGCCCCACCTACCTCTGTTGCAGGGGCTGAGGGTGGTTTCTGATCCAGTCTGGAAAACACTACAGCTAGAGTAAGGGATGCACCTAGAAGCATTATGATTAGTACAATCCACGGGCTTGCATCCTCCCAGAATTACCACCTAGATCTGCTGGAGCCCAACACACAGAACACAACCAAGGAGGCCAGAGGCAGGGGCCACAGACTGGGGGGCATTGGCCTCCTCCCAGAGAAAGGGGTAGGGAGCATCAGAGAGGCTTCACGCTGCCACGGGCCCAGAACATGAACCAAGGAACCAAAGCATCTCCTCCCCCTGCCCCACCTTGCACTGCTTATGAGGGTGGGGAACCCATTAACCTAACCCGGGACTCAAGTGACACTGTTTCTCATGGCTCTTCCAGCAGGAACACCAGCCACACTAAGCTCAGGCCATCCCTGTGCAGGGGCATATGCTGCCAACTATTAAAGTAAGGCAAGGCATAAGCTGCAGATCACTCACCGTTCAGAGCCACTGCTTGTGCGGACAGGCTGAGTCAGGCTCACCTCCAGGGACCCCTAGGAAGGAAGGGCAGAGACACGCTTAGCATCCTAGTCCCCATAGTCAAAACGATCCCCAGCATGCAACATCTCTTCTGGGGCAGCTGGGCTACCAAAGCCCCTGTCCCCAACCACTCTGCAGCAGACTTTGGATAAACGGCTCTTTGGGGGGAACTCAGGCCCAGACCAGACTCTGGCAGACCCACGGTTTGCACTCACTGCCATAGGGATGAATTTCACACATAGATACTACCCCACAGTGCCTCTTCTACATGAAGCATGGAAAGCAGCGTGCAACAACCCCACCAACCGAACAGACACAGGACCCAAGTACAGGATTTTGAGCCCAACCCTGCAGAGCCAGGGCAGGGACAAAGCAAACTGCCCGCATGGCCTCAGCTGACCCAGCTGGGTTGAACACCGTGCAGAATTGCACAAGATCAGTGCTGAGTAATACTCATACAGCACAAAGTCCTATTGTAACTGGGGCCACTGACTTCCTGCCTGTGTCAGTGGGATGCTGTGCAGGGAAGTCCCTAGCCCAGAAGCATGACAGGCACCGGCTCCTCCCCCCCATTGCAGGGCTTTGCCCATTCCCTGCCTGCTCTTTGCAATGTAAAACCCTAGATTCTGCTAGACTGGCAAGGACTGGGAAAGAGATACTGCAGGTCAGCACTGGAAGACTTCAACACAACTCAGATGGAGCATGCCAGAATGGAAAGCAGGGGGCAACTCAGGTCTCTGGGTCCAGAGCTGGGAGGTGGCCAAAGGGCAGAGTAGCTAGGGCTGCAGTTCAGGATTAATGGAGACCCCCTAATGCAGACAATTCCCCATCCCCCACCCTCCCTGCAACAGGTCCCGGCCCCATCCTTGATGGAGGAGCACTCCAGCTGGCCAGCCCCTCACTGCATGCCACTGGCAGCCCAGCAAGGTGAACAGAGGCACGAGGGACCAAAACATCCCACACAAAAGCAGAGGAAAGGAGATCTCATCTAAAAATAGCATGGCGGGGGGACAGGGCATAGCAGGTACCAGGAGGCAACTCCAAGAGGAAAGCTCTGTTGACCTGTGGCATTAACAGCACCTGTCATCACTACAGAAGGGGAGTCCTGGGCACTGGCAGCCCACTCCTTTCTCTCATCCCATCCCAGCCACAGGAGCTGCAGCAGCATGGACGACAAGGGCTGTCTACCCCCGCTGCTTCCAGCTAGGGAGCAGGGGAAGGAGACTCAGAGCTCCAAGTGCAGCTGCCTGGTAGAAACCTCTGCTCAGATCCTGGCCCAGCTGAGGGGCCTTGGCGGGACAGATGCCTCCCTGCGCCAGGGGGAGTGGCAGGCTCGTTCTCAGGGATATAAATAAAATGCAGTGCAGGCGCTTGCGTGCAGAGCCTGGGCAGCTGCTCCCACGCTCCCAGCAAGGGGGGGCTGCCCAGCACACCCAGGTTTCTAAGAACCACACTGAGCCGTAGATGCTTGGCAAGGCTGCTATCCTGACCCG